TTACCAGGGCTGTAAAAAATTGCAATCAAATTGGAATGCAATCGCATATTTTACGTAATATTGCAATCTATTTTAATTGCAATTAACACTGATTGCTTATATTTTGATTGCAAAATTAAAATTTGCAATGATTTAGAAGAAATTGATTGCAATAAGTTTTTGATTGCAATCATTAATTGCATAAAAATTTCTAACTGCAATCTGTCTAAATGACATTTATTTTGATGAATAATTGGAAGTACGATGGTGAAGCACACAATCCCGCAGTGGGTTAACGGCATTACACCTAGCAGTAGGTTGTTTTAGGTTGTTTTGATTGTCTTCTTTATTGTTCCGCTAATCGATAGCAGAAGATCGACCTATCTCGGCAGCCAGTTCGAAAACGCCCTATCCCAGAAAATTTTTCAATAACGCTCGACTTCAGAATTTGATCTAAGGACGCCCTATCTCAGAATTCGGTTCAGAAACGCCCTGTCTCAACTGCACACACCACATATTCAATGTATTTTCGTTTGAGATAGGTCGTTTTTGAACCGAATTCTAAGACAGGGCGTTTTCAACCAAATTCTGAGATAGAGGGTATTCCAATAAAATTCTGAAATAGGACGTTCTTCAATCAAATTCTAAAGTATGGCGCTCTTGAAAAGTTTTCTGAGATAGGTCGTTTTCGAACTGACTGCCGAGATAGGTCGATCTTCCACTCAGCCATCGATATGTACTTGCATATTTCTTGTGTGGATTAGTAGTGCCATCTACGGCGACAGCCCGGTTGCTTGGATTTTTCCCATCACCCTTTTTTGCGGCCATTCCTTTGCTCGGTTTGGCCCTTCTGTATTGTTTTTGCGCACTGCAAGTTTATTTACGTGAAACATTAGTTAGGCGGTAATATATTCGCACAATAAGTTTTGGTTCGCACATTTTATATTTGGTCTTGTAATTCAGAAGTTATCCTACTTGTCTTATTTATAAGCTAAAATTTTACAACAGTCTTCAATATTTTTTGCCGTTTTTTGAATAAAATGTTTTTCTTCAAGCAGCAACAACTTTCTGGCTACTGTTGTCAAACTTAAACTTATAAGACAAATCTGCTAAATAGTTTTCTTTCAACATACGATTTGTAATCATGTAACGATAACCAAATCATGTTTTGAGAGAAACATACTTACGTAACTGAATTCTTTTCTCAGTGTAAATTACTAAAACAACATGCATGCATGAAGTGCTCACAACTCGTTGTTTATATTAGGTGTGTATAGTGACAAACAGTCAGTACTGGAACCTGCAAATTTTTACTGGAAAAGTGTATAATAACCCAAAAAATTTCCAATAAAGCACTGAATCGAGAGCGTAATAACACGGGTGAATAACTCAGTGTGAGGGCAGGACCAGGATGAATGTATTTGCATAAAAATTTATTAAAGCAAAAATGTTTTGGGTAGGCGTCGGAGCCAATGATAACCATCAGTTACCACCTCTGCATGGTTGTAAGTCATGCAGAGTCCCTACGGCTTGTAGCGCTGTGGCTTTGCCGCTTAAACTCTGTAAGAGTTTTTGGGGGTGTGCGTCAAGCGGAGTGTTGAGCACCGGTTATTTATTTAAGTTCAAAAATTGGGTAGGCGCTGTGGCCAATGGTAGCTCTTGTACCACCTCTGCATGCCGAAGGCAATACAGAGCCCCGTGAGACAACTCCGAGAGAGCTGTGATGCATCAAGCAAGTTTGTTGAGCATGATTTGGAGTGCCAGCAATTAACTACTTTAGTAGGTTTTGTTCTGCGTCAGTTGAGAAGTCCATTAAAAAATGCATACCCAATGAAGACCGAACGAATTATTTTTAAGCACAAGTGCGTTTGTTTATTCGCTGCACTTGGTTTTGGGTGGGAGTGCAATATACAAGTGCGTGTGTGTGTTCGCTGTTCTTTGTTTATGCGGGAAATGCATAAGTCGCTTAAACAACGGGAGAAGTGCAAATTTTTGCTTGTGAAGTTTTTACTAGCAGAAATTAGCTAGCGGAAGAAGAAGGATAAATGTCAAAAGCCGCCATTTGTTGAAATGGTTAAGCATGAACAAAAGTAAAATGAGTGGAAATCAAAATATTAATGATGTACCAAACCGTGTAAGTGCTTGCGTGTAAAGCAAAGAGTTTAAAACTGAACAGAATGTCAAAACGGTGAAACTACTACTCACTTGCAAGTTTTTACTAGTTTTGTGTTCCATAACTTTTTCTGCTAGTTTTCTCTTTTTCGCAATTTCACGTTCTATTTTTACGCTCTCAAATTCTTTATTAAAAAAAGCATGAACAAATTACTGCATTTTTGAGATTGCAATTAAAATGTTTGATTGAATCAGTGATTTGATTGCAACCACAATCATTGCAATCAAATGTCCTTACCATTAAATTGATTGTAGTTTTTACAATCAGAAAAATGCAATCAATTTTGTATGTAATCCTATTAATAGCACAATCATTGATTGCTAAAAAAATTTATTGCAAATTTTTACAGCTCTGCTGCTTACTGCATTTTTTTTCGGTAATCAGTAAAAGTTTACTGGTAATGCAAGGTAAATTTCATTATCAGTAAAAATGTACTGCTTACTGCTGTTTTTTTCAGTAATCAGTAAAATTGTACTGGTAATGCAAATTAAATTTCATTATCAGTATACTTTTACTGACTACTGCTGTCTTTAATTCATTTAATATATACTGCACTGTGCCTATCTATGCTACAGATTGTACACTTGGCGGCGCGGCATTGTTTAAACCAATGAACCTTCTTTAAACATAGAATGCAAAGTTTTGCGCCATGCGTAGCTATATAGCGCTCGTACGGATTCAATTGCACGAATTTATGGCTTTTTAGCACAGCGTGATCGCCTTTGCGGCAAATAGCGCAGCTCACCTGTTCAAGCGACCTCTTTGGCTTCCACAATGAAGACTTTGGCTTGACCATCTGCTGCTCCGTATCGCTAGGATCGCCCTTTGCTTCACGAGCTTCTAAAGTTTGACACCTTCTGGTCAGTATTGCTGAGCACTTTGCCCACGATGTTATTTTTGTGTAATAAAGGGCCTTGTTGACTGGAGAATGAAACGCGATTTTGCGAGCACGTACTTTAATCCTTTATTTAAATAATATGTTCGCTACGCATCAAAATAAATGTGTGCTAAAATCTAAACAATTTAAATTACATTAGTAGAAAATACCAAATGGAATTTACATGTGATTCTTACACTTGTGCTTGCGCTTGGGTGGTTATGCTGCCTTCTCCGTCAACGATCAAAGTAAGAAGAAGGTTCGTAAAAAGTGCAAGAGCGCACCTAAAAGAAAAGGTGACGTTTAGCAAATACAACCACCAGAACCCTGCAAGCACAAGTGATTGACAATTTTTGATTTAATAATTTAACCCTCGCGCGTTAACACCCCTCCTCGCAAACTTCTTGCGGCGCAACGGGGTTTGCAACTTCAACATCAAGACGCGCGAGCTTTACCACCGGTCGAGTGACCAAACCGCTTGACGTCTTCACAACCGCACTCCGGATGTGCCCGTCATTGCCTCGTATGACATCAAATACGCGGCCCCTGGTCCAGGTGTTGCGCTTTAAGTTTTCGTCTACAATAACGACAACATCGTCTAGCTGAATAGGTGTCTGGGACCCGAACCACTTCGAACGTCTTGTTAAACATGGCAAATACTCCCGGAGCCATCGCTTCCAAAATTGGTCAGCTATTTGCCCGGAAATACGAAAATTCTTACTCAGTGTGGATGCGCTGACTTCACAAGCGCTTTTCTCGCGGATGCCACTTGAAGAGCCATGAAGAAAGTGGTTCGGNCCGCTGCGTATGCGAGAATGCTGGAGTCAACAAAAACATGAAGCTCAAGGTTTTCGCAGCGGCTTACGAATGTGTAACACCTTGGAATGCGCACGTTGTTGAGGGATTGAAGTTTTCGCACCCAATTCCACCACGCGAAACGCTCTTTGTCTTGTATGGGTTCGTCCCACGTCACTCCAGATCTCCAAACGTCCTGAAGTATCATTTTGGCCTTAATTACAAAAAAGCCGAGCAAACCTAGAGGGTCGAAAATCGTGNAATTTTCTCGATCTCCTGTGCTAACACACGACTTGCGCCTCGAAAGTTCGTACCGTTGTCTGACGTAATACGCCTCGGTACACCACGTCTACACATAAACTGTCGCAGTAAGAGCAGAAATGAGTCAGTAGAGAGTGACGCCGAGNATCCAGATTGACCTGCCATAACACGCCAAACTCGTTTTGAATTGGAAAGCCAGTGGCGCATTTCGAAGCCAACTTCCTTATGGATGTGTCGCACTTCCGTAGCGAGTTGGATCATTTCATCTTCTGTTTCAACACTCTGAAGCCAGTCATCCACGAATGTATTTTCTACGATGGCTGCAACTGCGGAAGTGAACTTGTTCTTAAACCTGTATGCGTTTCTGTTTTTAATATAGTTAGCTAAGGAGGGCGAACAAGATGCACCAAACGTCATGACGACCATAACGAAAGTGTCTGGCTCACGAGTTCTATCACCGTCACGCCATAGAAACTGTTGCGCGGCTTGGTCCGCTTTTATGACTCCAACCTGGTGAAACATTTCGCGAATGTCACCACACAATGCCACCGGTTTTTCACGAAAGCGAAGCAAAACACCGACCAAGGATCTCAATAGGTCAGGACCCTTAAGTAGCACATCATTCAAAGCAGTTCCCTCATCTTTCGCGGCTGCATCCCACACCAGCCGCCTCTTGCCCTTGTTGACGCTTAGGACTGAAAAAATGGAATTGGCCGCAGAGTTTCGATGGCCAAGTTTACCGTGGCAGGCATCATTAATTTTCCTCGGACTGACTCAAGTGCAGCGCGTTTCAAGCACTTCTGCAACCGAATAAGATTCTCTTGGTCAGAAAACCCGCAGCGCTCCTTAGATTGAACATAATTAGTAATAAATAAAGGCCACTCTTCCGGCTTACCGGAAAAGGAGAGTAAGTCCTTAGTAATGGCTTGCCTCGCAGCTACATGCGAGGGCAANAACAGCTCGCACGGTCATACACGTGAATAGCACGCCCCAACGCTTTTCATACCGCTTACCAATCACAACATCAAACGGGCCGAAGTAGTCAACACCCGTGTAGGTGAATGGTCGTGTAAATGCAGCGATGCGCTCCGAAGGGAGTGGCCCCATTTCTGGCACTTCTGGCGAAGCTCTGTAGTTACGGCACAGTTGACACCTCTTTGCAATGGCTCTAACTAGGGTCCTGAGACCATGAACACAAAACCGCTGCCTCATCTCGTTGACCACAATTTCATTGTGTNGTGGTATAAACGAAAACGGTTGAGACTGGCGAGATGTCCACACCGGCGCGGTACATGGTGGAGCATATGGCGCTTGAACCTGCGAAGCACCCGAAAACCTATGTGCGAATGAATGCGTAACGTTACCACTCTGCGGTGCCCCTTCAGCGATTGAGTAAACAAATGTCGAATTGGCAGCTGGTCGGTGACCCCCAAAATTACCTACACCGTTGTACAGCGCCGTGGAAGGGTATGAGTTCATCGCTGAGGTTCTGATACCATGTACATGTGCAGATAACGGGCCAGACTCTATAAATGTCGTCAAAGGCGCTTGCCGAATGTACGCATCGTATTTTGAGGTTAGGCCGTGAACACGTGTGGGCGGTGACGAAATTGGAGCGCCTAAATTCACATGTGTCTGCAAATCCGATAAGGTTGCACCTGCGGATGTACAGGAAGTGACGGTTGTGCTGGCTAAAGGTGCCATCTGTGAATGCTCCCCTATATGAGTGGTACCTAATGCTATAGCACCTGAAAATACATCCTCTTGCGCGGATATAGCACCGACGAATCGAGATTCCCTATCAATTAGCGCAGTTGTCCAAGTTTGTGAAGGTGCTTCGATTGTCGCGAGTTCCTGAAGTGAAGGAGGTGCGACTGGTGATGCGGTTACACTTATTATGGCCGATGCGCTGGATGACGGTACGGCAGATCCCTCAGGAATCGTATTTTCCTCGCAGCTCATATTGGTTCTTTGTACAATTTTAGGTTATACGCAAAAGTATTTTAGTGTGCTGACTGGAGAATGAAACGCGATTTTGCGAGCACGTACTTTAAGCCTTTATTTAAATAATATGTTCGCTACGCATCAAAATAAATGGGTGCTAAAATCTAAACAATTTAAATTACATTAGTAGAAAATACCAAATGGAATTTACATGTGATTCTTACACTTGTGCTTGCGCTTGGGTGGTTATGCTGCCTTCTCCGTCAACGATCAAAGTAAAAAGAAGGTTCGTAAAACGTGCAAGAGCGCACCTAAAAGAAAAGGTGACGTTTAGCAAATACAACCACCAGAACCCTGCAAGCACAAATGATTGACNGTAAAACGTGCAAGAGCGCACCTAAAAGAAAAGGTGACGTTTAGCAAATAGTTACAACCACCAGAACCCTGCAAGCACAAATGATTGAAAATTTTTGATTTAATAATTTAACCCTCGCGCGTTAACAGGCCTTTTCCCATTTAGCTTGAGACTCCGAATCTATTTTCCCCATAACTAAATATATAATGATGGCATTCGCAAAATTTTCATACGTGCCGAGTGACATCAATTACCTTTCTTAAATAATCGGCTGGCCTTTTGTCTACATTTGGCATCTCGAACAGTGCTCCAATGTGTCCTCAAACATCAGACTTTTCTTTTCAAAACACTATTTCAACCGTTGCAGTGCTTTGGGTAGTTCTCGTCGGTTTCATCGAAATAGACGATTGCTGAAAGTGCCCTTTCGCCTAAGCTGTCCTTCTGAATAAGGAATCTCTCACAATTGTCCAGCGTTTCGTCTTGATGATGATAATCCTTGTAAACAGCGCCATAAATTTGGGGTAGAGTATTTGCCATCGAACTTGGGCAACTTAATCTCACGCCTCAAACGTGATGTGGGAGCAGACCAAGAATTGTTGTGAGCTAATGTCATGTCAGCGACTGATGACCGCTTTCCTATCAATGCAATCGCGCTCAACTTGGTACTCACGTACAGTTCCTCAATTTCGCCCGCCAATGTTGCGTTCGCCAATCCATCAGACTTTGGACTGATTTTATCGATGCTCGCTTGCACTGCTAAGACCTGTTTAAAGTAGGACTCTAATATTTGCAGCCTGCATTCCAATTCCTCCACTGCTAACGACGCACCCTTTTTTGGGGTGGGCTTTAGTAGTCAGCCGCACCTTGTGTTTTAAGAAAACCAGGTGGAATTAACAATTGAAACTTGGTCAGGATGTTAAATGTATAACTAAAAAAATATAAATAATATAATTGTTTATAAGTTATTTGTTGTTAAAATTTATTAAGACGTTCCACTTGATTTCCTTATCAAAGAGTGCATTTGTCACAGTAGCTACACACGACGAGCATATCCGCGCACATGCGCGGCTTGCGGGTCATGTTCGTCGTTTGTAGGGCGGTTTGCGAGCATGCGCGCCAAAAATCAAAAAATTTTGATTTTCAGCGAGCATGCTCCTCGTTTGTAGCGTGGTTTGCGAGCATCGCATTGGAAACAAAAACAACAACCACACTTTGTGTTGATGCTTGCAGTGTGCACATCGCGGATAAATGCATCCAAGCCATGTGCGTTAATTGAATTTTTGATAAATGAGGCTAAGTTACTATATGTATACGTATGTACATACATATAAGTAACATATAAATAAATTTAAGTAACACATACATAAAAAACCCTAAGTCATAAGTATTTCAATTGCATCATCCACGTCTTTCCTTTCCATTTTTACGCTTTGAGTACAAAATCACTTATGAGCCGCTCGCCGTTTGTAGCAAACGACAGCGAGCATGTTGGCTCACATGTGCGCGGATATGCTCGTCGTGTGTAGCTACTGTCACATACTTTCATATATATAAATGCACATAACACTACCTTTACACACTTTTATTTTATTTTATCTTGTATATAAATCACTTTAATCCATCTTTTATTAACTTGGGGCGAACGAATAGGGGAAATTTCTAATAGATTTTATCGCTGAACTCATATCTGAAAAATATCCACAGCGATTGAAAATACATCTCTTGTCCTTTCCCAAGCCGCACAGTGTGCTTTTTGAACACTGCATGCGAATTAATCGGAGCGCTTTCAACAGAAGCAGCATTTTGATATGAAACAAAATGGTTTTGAAAGCTAAAGTAAATCCCTTCCAATTGTGGCCATTGAGCCACAATTATCCCTTGACCTTAAAAAAATTGGTCAAAATTAGTGTTCTTCGAAAAAACATGCAAAATCCACGGGATTTATTCCAAAACAAAAATGTATGTGTTTTTTATTATACTAGTATTATTAGTAAAAATTTGAACACCTTAGTTTAAAAAATTCATACTTATTGCATTTATTTCTATTTGTATACAGCTGTTTATCTTTCACTCAATTTTTTATCCCTCGAAGAATTAGTGCAATTCAAGACCTTTAATTTGAGCCAATGTAGAAGCCTCTAGGCCCTCTGAGAGTCAAGTTATAACAATTTTTAACCAAACTTCGACACTGCTGTACTAGCTTTTACTTCGAAATTGGAAAAAAATTGCGTAAAATGTCAAATGAAGCTTCCAAGTTTAACTTCAGAGTCGCAATGTAGTCATTATTATTCAAAATTTGTGCAATCAAATCGAAAACCGGGAAACTTAAACGAAACCTGGTACATTTTAAGGTTGGACCGGGACACCGGGACATGTCCGGGAAAACCGGGACGTCTGGCAGCCCTACATGTTCCCGCAAATGCACTTTGCAATGGGGTGCTCTCGTACTCTTGCAAATTTGGAATAGTATTTTTGCATTTCGTGCTTTCCGTGCAAAGTGCAAGACTTCGAGAATAAAGTATATATAATAATATAAATATAAATAATCATATAAAATAAATAAAGCCATATGGCGTTATTTCCTACGGCCTTATAGCACGGCGCCAAGTTAGTGCTGCTACTTCAAATATGTAATGAAGTTTAAAAATATGTGTGTACATATTTTGAAACGAATTTCCATCATCTCCTATCAATTTCGGTTTGAAGATAAACTGGTTTCGGCTTTGTGCCATCTTCAATCTCTTTTTCCGTTGCTCTCAACTTCTTTCTGCGTTGGATTTGATTATATTTGTATTATGTCCTGTAAGTATGTAACTTTATGCACAATAATAAAAGAATTTAGGGTAAATGAATTAATGCTGATAGCCTATTGAATAACGATTATACAAACCGTACGCCGAGCAGTAATAAAACAATGTATATTCAAGCTAACTACAATTTATTCAAAGCACTTTTAAATCGGCCCGTCGTTCCAACACTTCTACACAAGTTTCGTATTTGAAGTTGACGACGCCTATCTCCTTCAGGGCGCAGAGTTTTTGCTCCGATGCAGAGTCGGATGTTAGTGTTTCATGTAACAACCATGCAGTGCCACGTGCTGCATTCAACAACTTATTGGAATCATGGATTCTACATTATAAAAACATAATAAATACTGTATTATTAGAAACGTACATACATATGTTTAGGCATATAAACATGGGTCGTTTGTTGTATATCTAACGTAATGTCCAAATGCTAAAACGCCTTGGATATGGCGGAAGAAGCTATTGTTTCAGATAGCTCGAAAGTAAAAATAAATTAAATTATTTTATTGACAGCACGAGTGACAAATAGTTTTCATCATGATAAAAATATTTATATGGTACAATCCAAGGCGAATTTATATAAGGTGGCGTTACTAGCTCAGCTGATTTTGTGTATGTGTTTCGTCACACGGCTGCTGATATCAAATTGAAAAATTTTGTTTGAATTTCTACACACACTCTTACAGATTTTGACAGTTTATGCCGCCAAAGCAAAAACAAAATTCACCTTATATTAATTCGCCTTGGTACAATCGCTGAGAGCCAACTTTAGGAATTTTGACGTTTGTTAGCATTTTGAAAATTTCTCCCGCCATCATTTCGCATTTGTTTGTTTTTATTTAGTTGCGGGAACTTGAGGATCTTTAGAATGCATTGTTTGCAGAGGAAAGGAATTTGGGCAGCCGTTAAAGCAGCAACTAGTTTTTCGTTTCCAATTTTTTTAGTTTTTTTTCAACTTCTGAATAAATAAATATTTAAAATCATAAATTTTCATTTGTTTATTTTGAATTTCTTTGACATTAAAAGCATTTCGAGAGAGAAAACTCAAAATGCTAGCAAACATCAAAAACCCAATGGCGGACGAATTGAGCGAGCGGTTTTACCTTTAAATATTTGTATCATGGTTTTCATTACATCTATATCCTTTTTCATCCTATATGGGGCGTTTTGATTTCGAATCTAATGTCAGATTTTTGGAATTGAAAACGGCGAAATCAACATGGCGACCAAATTTTATAATTTTTTTCTTTTTCACCACAAACTCATATAAATGGGGTTTTTTGACGTCGCTGATTTCGAATCTGATTCAGATTTTTGAAATTCAAAATGGCGGATCCAATACGACGACGAAATTTTATAATTTGTTCTTTTGCACCAAAAACTGATGTATAAGGGGGGTTTTCAAATTGGCTGATTTCAAATCTGATATAAGATTTTTGAAATTCAAAATGGCGGATCCGCTGTGACGTTATCGGATGCGGAGCTAAATAATTTATGTTTAAAATAGCAGACCAAATTTTTGCTATACATATATTTTTTCTAATCATAGGGGCTTCAAATAAAAACTTGTTCCTGGATATAAGTATCTCGAGTATTCGTCTTTGTATTTTATGTATCTGTTTTATCCTTTATGTAGGGGAGCTTACTTTAGTATCTAATATTTTGTGGCAAAAAGTTTAAACAGGGGTTTTCTGGTTGTTGACTGCTTTTTTTCAAACATCGGAAAGCACGGCAAAACTCACGAATAAGCTTTCTAAGAAAAACGCCCATTATTCAAAATGTGCAATAAATTGCAAGATAGTTCTGAGCCCTTACATTTTCATTGCCCACAAAACTTGAAGACCACCAAATGAAACAACCACCAAATGGCAAGTTATACTCTAGTTTTTTTTTGTTATCCAAACAAATGTTACCTTCATTATACTTTTCCATCCTCTTTTTTTGAAGTATCTTTATCACTCGAACACTTATTCCACTTCGAAATATAAGAATGCTGACTACGAAAAAAAAGTAACTTTTTGTAGAAAGTTCAACTTTAATAGCTGATATCTCAACAGGAAAACTCTTCAAGAAAATAATGAGTATGCACTTTTTTACTCTGGAGAATTAATTAGTGAAGGGACAAAAAGAAATCGATTTATCGATATTTAAAAAAATTACTTTTGGTCAGCAAGTAGTAGCTGCCAGACCTTAGTGTATTGTGTGGCACGCCTTAACCGACTTCAATCGGGACCAAAAGGTATATGTGATATCCTCGACTATGGTAGTATGATTTTGGGTATTAGATGAAAAAAGTTAATTTTAATTTTTTGAGTCTCTATAGAGGCATCTGAACTTTGCCCCCTGCGCGCCACGCTTTAACCGTCTCCAATCGGGACCAAAATTTATATGTGATATCTTCGACTATAGTACCATCGACGGAAGGGTTAGGCTTAGGAAATCTCAAGTAAAAATTTTCTTCCTAAATTTAAGGGCAACCCTAAGTAAGTAAATAAGTAGATACATTAGTGTGGTACAAAATAAGTAAAGTCGGAATTTTAATGCTCTCACCCCCTAGGATTGTTCTATATCGAAAAAATATACCACTATTTTTTGTTTTGAAATTAAAAAATATTTAGAGGTCGCTCAAAGCGCTCAAAGTTTTCCATGTATTTTATATGGGAAAAAACAACTTTTCCTAGAAATGGTATGGAATACTTGAAAATCAATATTTCTCGATCGGAAAACTCTGGCTCTGCCGTGATCCAAGGCTCCACCGAGTTGGTTACCGCATCTCGCATCGCTCTGAGATGTCCTAAATTTAAAGACAACCCTAATGTAAGTAAATAAGTAGATACATTTTAATGCTCTCACCCCCTAGGATTGTTCTATATCGAAAAAATATACCACTATTTTTTATTTTGAAATCAAAAAATATTTAGAGGTCGCTCAAAGCGCTCAAAGTTTTCCATGTATTTTATATGGGAAAAAACAACTTTTCCTAGAAATGGTATGGAATACTTGAAAATCAATATTTCTCGATCGGAAAACTCTGGCTCTGCCGTGATCCAAGGCTCCACCGAGTTGGTTACCGCATCTCGCATCGCTCTGAGATGTCCTAAATTTAAAGACAACCCTAATGTAAGTAAATAAGTAGATACATTTTAATGCTCTCACCCCCTAGGATTGTTCTATATCGAAAAAATATACCACTATTTTTTATTTTGAAATCAAAAAATATTTAGAGGTCGCTCAAAGCGCTCAAAGTTTTCCATGTATTTTATATGGGGAAAAACAACTTTTCCTAGAAATGGTATGGAATACTTGAAAATCAATATTTCTCGATCGGAAAACTCTGGCTCTGCCATGACCCAAGGCTCCACCTAGTTGGTAACCGCATCTCGCATCGCTCTGAGATGTTGAACGAACACACCTAAACACTTCTGAATGTGGCCACATGAGGCCAATGTATAGGGACAAAGCTCACGTTCCTCCACTTGACCAAGACGAGGTGAGAACAGCAATAAGGCGGCTTAAAAAAACAAGGCCCCCGAAGCCGACGGTATACCCTCAGAGCTGTTCAAAGTCGGCATCGAAGAGATGGTCGGGCGCATGTGGCAGCTATTAAGCAGAATTTGGACTGATGAATACATGCCCGAAGATTGGAATCACAGTATACTTTGTCCAATCCACAAGNCTGATGAATACATGCCCGAAGATTGGAATCACAGTATACTTTGTCCAATCTACAAGAAAAGAGATCCTGCCGTTTGCCCCAGATACTGCGGAATAAGCCTTCTTAATATTGTGTACGAGGTCCTGTCGACGATACTGTGTGAAAGACTGAATCCCTTCACGAACCAACTGGTTGGAACTTGTCACTGTGGCTTCAGACCTCGCAAGTCCACCATTGACCATATTTTCTCAGCATGTCAAATTCTGGAAAGAACCCTCGATATGCAAATCGACACACACTATATTTTTGCCGTTTTTAAACCTGCTTTTTATAGCACGAAGAGACGCTGCCTGTTAGAAGTCATGTCTAAATTTGGGATCCCCGCAAAACTAATACGGCTATGTAGAGGGACGTTGAACACTACTTACAGCTCCGTCCCAATAGGGAAGGACCTCTCCGCGACGTTTGAGACCAAACGAGTTTTAAGACAAGGCGATTCACTCTCATGCGACTTTTCTAATCTGATGCTGGAAAGCGTCATAAGAGCTGCCAATCTGAATAGCAGCGGCACCATATACAGCAAAAAGACGATGCTGGTGGCGTATGAAGATAATATTGACATCGTTGACCTGAAACCCAGGGATGTCAGCGCAGCAATTTGCAGCTTAGAAAAAGAAGCCAACAAGCTTGGTCTAGCGGTGAACGAGGACAAGACAAAGTACCTCCTGGTAACACATAAAAAGTCTTCGCGTATTGGGACGCACGTCACTGTTGGCAGCCATAGCTTTGAAGTGGTGAAGGACTCTGTTTACCTAGGATCCAGCATAAACACCACCAATAATGTCAGTCTGGAGATAAAGCAAAGAATAACTCTTGCCAACAGGTGCTACTTTGGACTCGGTAGGCAAATGAAAAGCGGAGCCCTCTCTCGACGAACAAAAATCACGCTCTACAAATCTCTCATCATGCCCGTCTTTTTATATGGACGATGTCTAACAAAGATGAGAAGGATTTGGGGGCTTTCGAGAGAACTATGCTTCGCACGATCTGTGGCCCCGTTAGCTTGGGCGACGAGTACCGAAGAAAATGGAATAACGAACTGTGCGAGCTTTTAAACGACATGAACATAGTTAAGCGCATACAAATACAACGATTGCGCTGGCTTGGACATGTTGTACGCATGGATGACGACGCTCCGGTGTAAAGATCCCTCGACCTCGCACCCATGGGTGGACAAAGAAAGCAATAGCTCCCACGAACACAATGGAAGAACCAAGTGCAGAAGGACCTGTCCGCACTTGGGATAAATAACTGCCGCAAATCCGTAAAGGAGAGAGGCAACTGGCGAAGCTTATTGGTCTCGGCCCAAACCGACAAACGGTGTTGGTGCCAAATAAGGACAATTTTGTTTTACAGTATTATCAGCGACTTGGGTGTGGTGGTAGCAGTGCGCGCTACCACTCCGCAGGGCATAGATTTAAGCCCTGGTCAAAGAAACATCGCAAAAAAAATATAGAAAAAAGGTTATTTCTTAACAGCGGTCACCCCTCGGCAAGCAACGGCAAAGCTCCAAGTGTATTTCTGCCATCAAAAGCAGCTTCTCATAAAAATATAATCGCCGTTCGGAATCGGAGTAAAACTGTTGGTCCCTACCCTTTGTGTGATAA